TTTTTTTCTTTTTAAAATGTTAACTAAGATATCTATAACTATTAAGTACCTATTCCATATTTTTTTTTTTTTATTAAAATACACTACCTTTTTTAATTTTATCAAACATATATTCTAGGTAAAAAAAAGATGATATAACACATCTGCCTACAATTTAATAAATTTGCTATTTAATTTTAAAAATGCACCACCAAGGAACTTGTTTCTTTTTATTTAAAAAGTTTGATGTTGTATCTATAAGAATTAAATAAATTTAAAAAAAAATCATTGAACATATACCAAAAATATGGATGAAACAACTTGTAAACCTTGATAATAGTTATTGTTATTTGTCAGTATGATGCCTTGTTTGACCAGCATAGTTTATTTCACAAATATATTTTCAACAAATTTTCCACAAATATATTGTCTTTATTATTAAAAGATTGCAGAATTATTAATTATACAAATTGTATAGATTGTGCATTATTTTATAATCAAATACAATTAAGACTGTCTAATAATGTCAAATACGATTCACACATTTTTACAAATCAGTCTAATAGGTACAATACTTTTGAAAAAAAAAATTCAGATAATAACTATGAATAATAATTAATTAAAAATAAAGTTTGGTTATTGAATTTACATTTAAATTTAAGATAATAAAAAATTAATCATTTACTATTAAGATTGAAATTAATTGAATGGTGAAAATAAAATAAAAGAAGTGGGCAAGTTGATAACTGATCTGCTGTATTGTAGATTTTGAGTGTGTCAAGTGATGAGTAATGTTAAATTTAAATTTAATGATATAAAATTGTATATGAAAAGCCTTTCTGAGCAAATACAGTATATAAGTAAGTATACATACGTATATTCATATTATGTTTTTAATATTGCTTTTAGATAAAATAATTTATTTAATTTATTTATAACACTATAGTATAAATTAAATTTTGCTGAATACATTGAATTTAAATATGTTACTGTGCTTATAAAATATAATACTATCCATGATAGTTTTGTTTTTCCACGAATAATGCTTTTGTATTTTAACAATATAATTAATTTTGTAATAAATTGTAAATATTATTGTAAAGTTACTATGTGTTTCTAATGAGAGATTTCCTACCATGTTATCATTAGTTCATAGTTTTTCTTTCTTTTCACCATAATTATTACTTATTGTACACCTCTGTATAGATTGTAATATTTCAAAATAAAGTCATATTTAAAAAAAAAAAAAATTAATTTTGTTATTACTTATTATAGTTAAAATAGGCATAGGCGCCCGCAGAAATTTTTCAAGGGGGAGAGGCAATGTTTTCTGAATATTTGAGCGATTGTCATCCCAAATCATTTATTCAGCTGCAAAATTGTCTAGAAAAGAACTGAATCGGTTATTTGGAAAAGGGAATATGTCCAGAAATTCTAATTTTACAGGAGAGACAAAAAATTAATTTTCTCAACAATGATCGATTTTTCGAGACTTCAAAATTTTTATTAATATTCCAAATGTAGCATCTCATTTACCTACATAAGAACCAAATTTTTTTTCAAAATCCATAAAGTGATAAAAAAAAAAAAAAAAGTTGACATGTTACCTTTTCCAAATAAATAAATTGATTTTTGATATTTTGTTTGTTATTAAATTTTTTTTTTATTTATTTAATATTAAGATAACTCTTGAAAACAAAATATAATCATAAGTGATGGTTATAGTTATAATATATTGACAAATTATAATACAGTACTTTATTAATCAAATAAGGTGTCAAAAAAAAAAAAAATAATAATACATTGTTTTATTATAATATGAACTAACTTAAAATTTTAATAATCTTCTTCGTGATGCTCTTGTGCTTCAGTAATGGGCCAATGCATTATTTCATCATAGAATGACATTTTATCAGCAGGTATATGACAAAGGAGACTTTTTATATTATCCATTTTCTTGTAATTTATTGGTAACTTTTGGTCGTATGCTTTAAAATCTATGATGTTCGGCAAATCTGGACGAAACTGTCGAGGTTTTGCAAGTGAAAAACGTTCGCTTATAAAGTTATCGATGTAGGGATGAACAAGTAAAATACCTGGTTCAGACGAATCATAAATGAAATGAAAATAATCGGTGATTTTAAGTGTGACTTTTTGTGCTTTTGGTACTTTTTTTCCATGACTTGTTATTGAAAGCACATTTTTCTTATAAAAATCTGGCCACCACTTTTTGTAGTCAATAATTTCTTCTGTTTTGACTTTTTCAACTGAAAACTTATTAGTGTTCGATGATTGTTGAATAAGCTCAATGTAATCGTCGTGTGTGTATATTCGGTCTTGCTTTCTGATTTTACGTTTTACTGTGGCGAAATCTCTATCGCAAGCATTAAAGGAATGACCTCTTATTGGAAAAATATGCTCTATTTTTTTGAAACGTTTACTAGATGCTAATGCCATAAGAAAACGAACAACTGTATGATTACGGTTTTGACCCGGACAACCATCTGAGAAAATATATAACTCATTGACAGTGGCAGGAATATACTTGTCAATATACATTTTCAAAAATGTGCACACTTCATTCGGTCCTTTATAGGCTTCTCCTTCCTGATATGAATAAAATACAGCTTTTTCAGTTTTAAGATTATGAACACAAAATTCGTATATCCACAGCTGCCTCATATAGAACACCTCCTGTACAGGAATATGTGGAAGGGGTAAATTCTGCATGTAATCTATTGAGATTCCTAAAATGTTGTCTTGTTCCTTACATAATTTTCTTACTTCATCACATTTTTTAAAAAATTTGGATGCTCTTCTTTTGTGAATGATAAGTTCAGCAATTGATACGCGTTTGGCATTTTCGTTTAAGTGTGGATCACTTACCTTTATTTTTAGTTGTTCGCATGTTGAACAGACGTCTATTTGAGGTCTTCCGAATGATAGATCAAAATTTTGTTTGAAATACTGACAAAAGAATCCGTATTTCACAGTTGGATTTAAATTTAGGTTAATTTTAATGAACATTTCATACATAAGTTTGATATTTAGTGTAGAAGGTAAGTATTTTTTTGTTGTGTTATTAGAATAATGTATTTCTTTAGCATCAAAACGTTCAACAAATTCTTTAATTTTAACACAAATCTCTCCAGGTATTATGTTATGTCTAGATCCAATAGACTTACCTCGTTTGTCTTTAGGAGTTATATTTTGAGCTTGTAATGTACATAAACGCCATACTTTCTTATGACTTATACCATGTAATCCGATAAAAGCCATTTTGCAAACTGGTATACGCTGTCCGTTCTTGTGAACATGATATTTAAAAGTGTATGTTTTTGGTTTTTTTGGTTCAGCACTGCGTTTTCTCTTATCTTTGACATCCTCAACGTCAATGAGATTCTGAATATAAACATCTTGTGCGTTTTTTTCGTCAAAACTGTTAATGTATTTCACAATAACTTCCTTTTCTTCTTCGGTAAATTTATTGGAACATTTCTTCGTACAACTAAAATAAATATTCATGATATTATAGAAAGAATGTTATAAATAATATTAAATACAATATTATTACTCACTTGCATGGTAAACCAGACCGTCTTTCAGTCAATTCTTTACCAACATGATTTGTGTGTGGTAAGCCTTTAATTTTTGCTTTTTTTATAATGTTTGCTTTGTAAGATTCAAAATTAGAAACACCTTTTTTTCTCTTTTTTTCACTTTCTACACTACTGTCGGAATCAGACATAATAAAGTAGGTAATAAGAAATATTTATTCACAATATTAATATTATAGAAAAAAAGAACTCAAACAGTAAAATTTATAAACAGACGTTCATACATTATAATGCCATAGTAATAGTAGTATGAAAAAATATCAGCACTTGCCGCGTGGTTTTATGTAATAAATGATAAAAATATTTCAAAATATGTACGTGAAATACGTTAAAATACGATAATAATGATACGTCGTTAGAATGCTATTAATCAGCTGCATTTTTTTAAGTGCTTTATTTTTATCACTACGTTATGATTTCGATAAGGTAACATATCCAGTAGATGTTCCCTTTTCGAAATAAACGAAAATTTGACCCGCCAGCTATTACTACAAAAACACGCGGATATATTTCGTTTTCACACCAAATAATGAGTTCATGAACAAATAACATAGTTACGTAAAAATCTGAAAATGTCAAAATATTGGACATGTTCCCTTTTCCAAATAACCGATTCAACTATACTTTTTTGAAATTTTTTCAGTAAGCGATTTATATTGATTTTTATCGAGCTTACTCATTTATTCTGGTAATAATTAAAAAATAGAATATTAAGGTACTTCATTTTCTTCTGAAAATCGTTTTTTAAGGGATAATATTAATGAATTAACACATCGAATAAAAATATTAATTTTAAAATAACTCAGCACAATCAGTAAGTGCATTTACTCTATATATTTGTTTTTTGGTAATTCTTGATATAGTTATTTTAATATCTGATTCAGCTAAACTACTTTCCATTTTACCCCAAAGAACATTAAAAGTAGCATCTGCAGACTCTCAATGTTTTTGAAATATTTGAGTAAGCGTAGTTATTTGTTTTTTTTACAGTTAATAGATTCTGATTAACTCCTTGGAGTACATTAGCAACTGGTTCCAACATAGAAGAATATTCAGCCATAACAAACAAACTAAAAATGTTGAATTACTACAATAATTATACAATTGAAAAGCACGATTTTTTGTATTACGGTTTACGTCACTTTCCGATAGTTTTTGCAATGCTTCTAATATTATATTAATGTTTTCTTTAAATATTCTTATACTTTTATATTTGGCTGTTCATCGCGTTTCGCAAAATAGAAGAATGTTTGAAATGTATTTTCTTCTTAAAGGACTTTCTTGAAAAAATGTATTGAATCTTTTATTGTTCCAACCGTGTTACGAATTTCGAAACATCGCTCAAGTCATTAATGACTAAATTCAACTTATGAGATTTACAATGAAAAAAGTTTGCGTTTGGGTATTTATCTTCAATTCGTTTTCTAACTCCACTTATTTTTTCCACCATAGTAGAACAACTGTCATAGGCTTGACCGGCTATTTTTGATAGATCAAGCCCAAATTTTATGAGAGTGGACAGAATTTGTTCAGATATAGTTTCTACGTTCAAACGTTGCAATGGTACAACGCCTAAAAATTCTTCCCTTACACAGAATTCACCGGTTGACATTTTGTGCATGAATCGTACTCCTAACGAAAGCTGCTGTATACCGGATATATCACATGATTCATCAGCAATGACTGAAAAGAACTGGCTTTCCTTTACATCTTTAATTATATGTTCTAGTAACACTTCATTGCATATATTTATAAGTTCGTTTTGAATCCTATGTAAGGTATAAGTTGCATTTGCTTCAGAATTTTGCAAATGGTCATTTAAAATAGTATCTCCTGCGTCTACTCTAAATTTGAATAAGCTATTGAAGATAGCAGTCTCGTCAATTTTTCCTCTTAAATGCATGTTGTGTATACCACAAAAAACTATTGTTTTGATTATGAGTATTAGTTTGACTCTATTGTTTGTTGTTGAGCAGAACTTATAAGTTGAACAACACTTTTTTTTATTATTTTCTAAAATATTACAAAAATGATTTGCTCTATTCGTTGAGTCACGATGCCATTTAGATTGAAGATGAAGTTTCACAGAGCCATGGAAGTCTTAAAATGTTGTAAATTAATTAATAATAAATCGACCTTGCACTCCTCGATCCAGTTGAAGTTTGAATAATATGCAATAACGACATAAAACTCCTTTTAATTTTGAAGAGTATGAAATAAAAGGATAATCTACTAACTACTGAAGACAAAATAAACGATTTCCAGTATTGGAATCTATTTTAAAATCGTACGATTTATCGGGTACCCACGCTTGTTTTAATACTTTATAAATGATCTCGTTTGACAATTTTCCATGATTTTTAAAATTTCCAATATCATAAAAATCAATGTTTGCAAAATCCTAAAAAAATAATTATTCAATTTAAACTAGGGATGGAAAACATTTTTAATTTTTCAAACGTTATTTTTCTATATTGTTTCCAAATAAATAAAATATATTTATAAAAACCTTAGGGTTAATAGTGTAATAAAAATTATTGTCTTACCTTTTCTACGATACTTAACAAAGTAGATGTTTCACCAAAAGAAGTTGACTGATCTATTTCTATTTGGCTAGAGTTTCGGTTTCATTTTAATTTATTTTAGCATTGTCGGGTTCTAGTTCTAAACGAGGTTTTTTAAAATATCTTCTTAAATCCATTTTCTATCAAATTCGAAAAACCGTTAAATATTTCAGATGGACCGATAGATTTACAAAACACATCGAATAACGAATAACGACTGACTTATATTCACGATGATAAAATATTATATGGGTAAACAATTACTAATCAGTAATTACTTTATATAATAGATAGAATTAGATAGGTAGATATTTTATGATAGAAAATATTATGTAGAAAGTTATTTAGGTATAGAAAGGCCTGATATAAAAATACAATTATCAATCGACTGCAAAATAAAATCTTATCTAATGTTTTTATAATGGTCTCTCTCTTCAGCTTTTACTGTCCTTGAAGGACTTTCGTTGCCTCTACTACTTTTCTCCAACTATCTCTGTCAATACTGTCTTCTAAAGTTAATCCCTGGGCGCACTTGTTTATATCTTCTTTAACCCTGTCTATCCGGCGCTGTCTAGAGCGACCCCTAGGTATTTTTCCATTGATTTTTCCTTCCAGAGCTTTCTTTGGGATACCATTTGACCTCCATACATGGCCTGCCCACTCAATTCGTTTAATCATAAGGTACGCGTTGATACCAGATTTTTGATAAATTTGTTGTACTTCTACATTAGTTCTTCTTCTGTACACTTCATTTTCTAGTATAAGTCCATAAATCCTTCTAAGAACTCTTCTTTCGAAGCAAGCCATTTTTTTCTCATCTCCTTTAGTAGTCGACCATGTTTCACATGCAAATGTTAGAATTGGCCGTAGGAAACTTAAGTATAAGCGTTCCTTTGATCGTCTAAAGAGGAGCTTTGACTTGAACAATTTTTCCAAGGCGTAGTAACCTATGTTTAGTAATGGTAACCTATTATTTTTATAACCACTTTAAATTTGTTGTATAGTATGTAGTAATTTATCTTAAAACATTCAATTTAAAAAAATATTTTGAAAAAGCGAGGGGGATAATGCCCCAGCTTGCCCCCCCTGTGGACGCCTATGGAAATAGGTGATTTCATCCAAATTTGAACTTAGAATGTCAAAAAAAAAAATAATAAATGTATCTTATACTATACATCTTTAGATTTATTAATTTCAGTATGAACTGCTTTTAAGGACATATTAAATTTTTTTTTTTTTATTATTATTATTCATAAAAGCATATTTACAATCTATACAAAACAGTACAATAAGTAAATTGGATAATATAGTAATAATAAAGACGACTTAGTTGGCTTGAAGGGGAGAAAACCGTCCATCAACAGTACCTTCTGTTTAATTTGGTGAGTTCATGTGAATAGACGGTTTTTTTTTCTATTGAGCAAGATCATTTCTCGGACATTTTCTTTTTAATCTCCTTGGAGAGTTTCTGGGGATGGTTATAGAGGACATACAATAAATAAAAGGATTTTTGTTTTAATGGAGTTTTCAGTGGAACTTTTTAAAGTTTTGAGTTGCTAATTCATAACTGTTGAAATTTGTAGATCTTTATGTAGTATGTCAGTTATTTGTCTAAGACATATCGATTGGAAGGCTTGTATAGGTCTTAGATGGTTTGGCGTAGCCTCAAATTTGGATACCATATTACCAAAGAGGAGTAATAATTGCCTTGTAAATCAATATTTTATTTTTTAAACTCATTGAAAAAGACAGTAATGGACGAAGGAGATGTAGGCATGTGTTAGATTGTTTTCTTTTAATTTTGATGTGTTGGGCCCAGATAAGTTGTTTGTCAAGGTGAAATCCTAGGTATTTGGTTACATGTTTAATAGGAATTTGTAGATTGTTGAGTGATAGTTGTGGACATTCTTTTTGATCTAGAGAAAAATTTATTTGAAGCGATTTATTTTCATTTAACTTGATTTTCCATTTTTTAGTTCAGTTGGAGATTTTATTTAAATGGTATTGTATGTAGTGGGTGGCTATGTTTGGATCTTTGTTTGATGTCAGTATACCGGTATCATCTGCATATGTCGCTAGAGTTGTGAAGTTTGTTTTGGGGATATCTCATGTATTATAAATATTATATGGTATAGGTGATAGGTTCCTTGGGGTACTCCTGTATTGATTTTATGATAAGGGAAGTAAGAATTATTATGTTTGACTGTGAAATATCGGTTTTCAAGATATGATTTTAGTATTAGATAATATGGAGCAGGTAGAAATGATTTTAATTTAAACAATAGACCATCGTGTCAGACACGATCAAATGCTTACGCGATATCTAAGAATACAGCTAGACAATGCTTTTTTTCGAGTGATGTAGATATTTTGTCAGTGATTCTGTGTATTTGGTAGATTGTCGAGTGATATTATCGGAATCCAAATTAATTATTAAGAATGATATTTTTTTATTTGGTAATAGGAGTTATTTTTTTATCTGGTAATAGGAGTTATTTTTTTGAGAAGTAATTTTTCGAAAAGTTTCTCTAACGTCGGTAGTAGACTTATCGGACGGTATGAAGTTACTATAAATGCTTTGGTTTTTCTGGTTTAGGAATTAATATTATTGTAAGGAATTTCCATATTGGGGAAATGTGTGATAATCTAAGCATAGTGTTGTATATTTGAGTCAGAAGAAGGATAGTTTTGTTTGCTAGTTTTTTGTGTATTTTATTTTTTTATTTGTATTTAAAACGCCATACAGCTTTTTCAAATATTACATATTAATGAATATACAATATAATATATTTTACACATATATATATATATCTAAACATAACACATTGAATATCAATAAATTAGAATTTTATAGTAGTACATAGTAGGCTCCTGAAAATTAAATGTAACTGAACAAACCTAAATTAGAAAAAATGATTAACTAGTATGATTATTAACTAGAGACATAGCTCTCCTTAGAGGATCATCATCCAAATAATTTTTGGATACTGCAGCAAGGTAGTAGGGGTCACGAGAACGGGTTGTACCTGGGATGCGAAAACCTATTCTAGATAACAAGTCTGGGGAGTCAATTACACCAGAGACTAAGCCATTCAAAAGTTTAATGTCACTCATATTTCTTCTTTCGTTTAGGGTGGATAAATTGAGTGCTGTTAAGACGGGTTTATAGTCGTGGGGTTCATGATTAATGCCCATAGATCGAGAAACCATATTTAAGAAACGATGCTGAACACGTTCAAGTCGAACAATGTCACATTTGGTCCTTGGAGACCATACTACAGATCCATACTCTACAATCGATCTAACAAGAGAAGTATATAATATCAACAAACATCTTACAGACATGACCGACCCTGCATGTCGCCTTATAAACCCTAATGATCTCAATGCTTTGCCTACTATCCAGTCAATATGAGGTGCAAACGATAACGTTGGAGTGAAAATAAAACCTAAATCTTCAACTTGGTTTATTCGCTGTAATATCACATTATCAATAGAGTAATCATAATGAATAATTGAGTGACGTCTCGAAAAAGACATAACTTTACATTTGTGGATTGCCAGCTCTAACCCAACTGTATTACACCAATTGACTAACTTATTCAACGATTCTTGTAACGAAATAGCATCACTCACAGATTGAACGCAATTAAATAATTTTACATCATCCGCAAATAATAACATATTGATGTCAACAGATTCGCATAAAGTATTTATTAGAATATTAAATAGAAGTGGAGACAAGTGCCCACCTTGTGGGACTCCGGAAGTGACTAAATTAAATTAAATATAGGATTTGAACCAGGAGAGCAGAGGTTCACCTACACCCAATTTATCTAGAATATCAATTAACACTATATGGTTTATGGAGTCGAAAGCTTTAGAGATATCGGTAAATATCACATCAACTTGACTCATATTTTTGAAGCTATCCCTGATAAACGCTGAGAATTCTAGGGCACTAGTTGTTGTGGAACGACCGCCATAAAACCCATGTTGATTTGTTGATAAGACTAGTTTAAATTTACGTTCAATACATTTATGGACAATTTTTTCAAATAATTTACCAATTAGAGGTAAACCAGAAATTGGACGATAATTAGATACTGACCCTGGGTCTCCTGATTTATAGATAGGTGTTACCTGGCTCGTTTTCCATATTGATGGAAATATACCTTCGGCTAATGAGAGGTTAAATAAGTACAATAGAGGATATTTTAACTGTGCCCTAATATTAAATAAAAATTGGGCTGATATACCATCAGGCCCACGACTCTTAGTTGTTCTCAAGGATAGTAAATTTTCTTCGACCTCATTAAGTTCAATACTAAGTCTAGAA